AAAGTCTCCTAAATTTTCCAAGTTCTGTAGGGTATCACATAGTGAGCGACCTGTCCGACTTTTATCCTCACCACACTGTTGCTTGTTTTTGACGCAATTGCTGAGAATTTCCATTGACAAAATAAAGTGCTCGGCTCACATTTGTTTGTTTTAATTGGTATTTATGGCATTGCCCACTCCCTTGCATCTCTCACGTTTTCGCCTCCCCACGGCTACTCTCTCTCTCACAATCTGTGCGTCAATGGTTGGAGAAATGCCCTCTATCACAGACATTCCACAATTATAAATATTTCGAAAAACAAAAATAAAAAAAAAAATATTTTATTTTCAAGAGATAGATAGGTACTCCATATCTAATCAACAGCGGCAGTGCACAAATGTAGGCTACCACTATGGCCCCGGCCCCTTTGTCAGGGGGCTATGGACGATGTGTGTGTGTGCTCGTTTTGCCATCACCACCCTTCCTCCTCCCTCTCTGCCGGTGGCCATTTTTATGAATGAAAATGTAAACTAATCTGCCCTGCCAGCCAGACCCAGTCATGTAAAGAGCACGAGCCCGCGCGATTACAAAATGTCATAGATGGAATATTATGGGGGCCTTGTGCATGACCACCATATCTTCTGTACTCACACACACACATACATACACACACATGAACACGTGTAGTCGCTCATTCGCTCGCTGGCTGCCTGGCTGGCTTTTCATTCACGTAAAAATACCAAAACGATGTTGTTGGTCGCCGAAAGTGTGAATGAGCAATGGATTTTAAGGGGCCAAAAAGGGGGCCAGCAGGGGGTGGGGGAGATATGTATTTTTACAACATGTAGAATTATGTGCGAGTGTGTGTACACGTTGTTTACTACGCCGTGTACACACACTCGCACACATCGTTGTTGCCTCTGCTGCTGCTGCTTTCCACTGCAATGCAGTTTTGTGCTGCCTAGCCCTGCCGCCAGCCGCCTGCCTACCTCTTGCACGCTCGCTCACTAGTAGCTCGCTCTCTAACTAAGTAGTATTTTTCGAGTACCTTTTATTTGTGTCATTTCTAAAATTCATTCATTTATTCATTCACCAGATAATGGCGGTTGTTGTTGTTATTGTTGTTGTTGTTGCTGCAGTTCGTTTTGGAATGGAATGTGGCGGTGTTGTTGTTGATTGCACTCATCAACAACACAAATAGCAGATAAATCGAAAATATATTTTTCTAAAATCCCAATCTCGTAAAGCGATAAAAATTGGGGGCCTTTTGGTGAGAGAAGAGACCACACGGCCCACTGGGTATCAGAATTTAATTTTAGTGGCTAAAACCACCCAAAATTTTTGTCGTCACTTAGGCTTCTATTCATGGAATTTAATATAAAATATATTGAAGCTAAGTAATCCTAAAAATTAACCAAATCCGTTTCAGGACATTTGGAGTCGATCTAGTGATGTGCGTCCGTCCGTCTGGCTGTCCGTCTGTCTGTCTGTCCGTCTGTGTGTATGACTTGCTGCTGCGCACAATAACTCTCAAAGGGAGTATCGGATTTGATCCAAACTTGGTACATCGTTATATTGTTATCAAACTTAGATCGAGTTCGGAGATGGGCAATATCGGTCCACTTCTTCTGGTATCTCCCCCAAAAAAGATCGAAATTTTAAAAAAAAAAAAATATTTTGCTGCATAGAAAGAGAAAGGATGCTCCGATTTTGCTCCAACTTTGCAAATCCTAATACTTGCATCAATGCTGGGTCAGGTGCTAAAATGGACAATATCGGTCCATTCCATAATGTACCTCACCCACAAAGGGTCAAAATTTGGAATAATTATAACTCTTATAAAATGTGATATAAGTGTCCGATTGTCTTCAAATTATACAAATCACAATATGTTTATTAACCCAAGGTCTGGTGTGAAAATGGAATATATAGGTCCACTCCTTCTGGTACCTAACCCAAAAAGGGTCAAAGTTTTGAATAACCCAAACGATCATAATATCCGAAATAAGCATCCGGTTCTCTTCAAATTTCACACATCACAATATTTTTATTAGCCCAAGATCTGGTGTGATAATGGAATATATCGGTTCACTCCTCTTGTACCTCCCCCACAAAGGGTCAAAATTTTGAATATTCATGAAGCTCATAAAACACGAAAATAATATCCGATTCCATTTAGACTTGACACATCTCAATACTTGCAACACAAAATCTGTTATAAAGATGGTAGAGATCGGACCATTCCTTCTGGTACCTCCCACACAAAGGGTCAGAGGGTTAATAACCAGATTTTTAAAATAATATTACATCCCCTAAAGTTATTCTACAAACACAAGACGACCTCCCAACCGGTCTTCTACAGATGAAGGAATTTCCGTTGGTATTCTATAAGACCAATATGTCCCAAAAACCTCCAAAGACCTTTCAAGACATAAGTTATCTCACAGTTATTATGTCCTCTCACATTTCTTATGTCCTGAAGATCTTTATATGCCATCCATTTAACCATTGATGACCTCTTAAGGGTCTCTCGCAAAAGGATTTTTTAAAAGGTCTTCAATTCAAGGAAGCCTCCATTTGTAGGAAATCGATTTAAAGGTTCAAGCCATATAATCTGTCCCCAGAAGACCTCTATGCATAGAACACTTCCTAAGGGTACTCTATTCCTAAATGTCCGAAAATATATTCAAAAAAGACCTCCTGAAAACTTAAAATCCAGAGAACACCTCCTTAATGAAGATATCCTTCCCATAAAAGATCTCATGAAGGTATCGTATTCTAAGAATAACACGTGAAGGCCTTTTATCCGTAGAAGACCTTATAAGAGTATAATATTATCGGAAAACCTCCTAAAGGTCTTATTTCCCAGGAAAACCTCTTGGTTTGTTTTTTCTACTAAAATATAATTTCTGTGCCCAAAAGACCTCTATGGTTAGAACACTTCCCAAAGGCCCTCTATTCATAGAATGTCCTTTGATCATTAACCACCTAAAGGCAGACCTCCTAACGTTTTCTGAGATTTCCTATCCATAGAAGACGTATCAAATAACCTCTGTATGTTAAGCTTTCCTTTCCTCAGAAGTTCCCAAGAAGATCTCCTTCACATGAAAGACCTCCTGAGGGCATCCTATCTTTAGAATTCACCGCTAAGGTCTTTTATCCGTAGAAGACCTTCTAAATGTATCATATCCTTGGAAAACCTTCTAAAGGTCTTATTTTCCAGGAAAACCTATTAGTAGGCCTTCAGTCCTATGTAGCCTGCTAAAGGGTCTTCTGACTCTATCCATAATTTGATGGTCTGCTCCTATACATAGAAGACCATTTGAAGGTGTCTTAGAGGCCTACTACTTCGGATAAGACCTGAAAGTCTCCAATCTTTAGACGACCTCCAGAAGGTATCATATACTTAGACGACTTCCCGAAGATTTTCTCTTCACAACGGGCCTTCTTAAGGTGTCCTATCCTTAAAAAAATCCTATTTTTCATTTTAAAGTTTGCCGAGGAGGATACTATTGAAAAGAGGAGTATCCGAGGAGGATACTAGTACAACTACTAAACTAACTACTGTAAAACTACACAATGGACCCACATCCGATTTTTCTGTCCAAAACTATTTCAACGTCTCCATATTAAAGGGTCTTCCTACTCAATCCATATCTTGATGGTCTACTCCTATACTCCTAGAAGTCCTTTTGAAGGTGTCTTATCCAGTCTGTTTCGCATAAGACCTGAAAGTCTCCAATCTTTAGACGACCTCTGGAAGGTTTCATATCCTTAAACGACTTCCTGAAGATCTTCTCTTCATAAAAGGCCTCCTTAAGGTGTCCTATCCATAGAAAACCGTAATTTTCATTTTTAAGTTTGCCGAGGCGGATACTATTGAAAGGAGGAGTAACTGAGGATGATACTAGTACAACTACTAAACTAACTACTGTAAAAATACACAATGGACCCATATCCGATTTTTCTGTCCAAAACTATTTCAACGTCTCCATATTAAAGGCTCCTCCTAATCAATCCATATCTTGAAGGTGTCTTATCCAGTCTACTTCGCATAAGAGTGGAAAGTCTCCAATCTTTAGACGACCTCCGGAAGGTATCATATCCTAAGTCGACTTCCTGAATATCTTCTCTTCATAATAGGCCTCCTTAAGGTGTCCTATCCATAGAAAACCTTAAGTTTGCCGTGGAGAATACTAATAAAACTACTGCACAATGGACCCGCATACGATTTTTCTGTCCAAAACTATATCAACGTCTCCATATGTAAACCCTAGAAACCATAGATTTGTTGAAAAACAATAAAAGAACCCCTATTGAGCTTTTGGACCCTATAGAGCCCTTTGAGTTCGAGAGGTAATTTAAGAATATATTCTTTATTTTTTAAAATTATTTTTGATAAACCGATTTTTTTTTCAATTTGCGGATAAAAATGATTGAAGTTAATATGTCTCCAACTTATAGCTAAGGGGTTTTACAACAACAACAACAACTATAAAACATTGTTGTTGTTGTTGTACAAAACAGCAACATTCGCGATTCATGACACACGCGTGAATGAGACCCCACTACCACCCACCTTCCTATAACAAAAAAACACAGGGACCCTAAACTCTACTCCCACTCCCTGTCCCCTCTCACCCTGAGCACACATTGCCGTATTTCTTGTTGTTTTTGTTGTTATCGTTGCCCTACTACCATATATTATGCTGGCCATGATTGCCCCCAAAATCTCTTTAAGACTTTGTTGGAAAAACAACATTGTTTCATATCTAATCAGTTGTTATTTTATGTCAAAATGTGGCTAAAGAAGAGGAGGGGAGGGGAGGGGAGGAGCAGGGGAAGGAGAAAGAAAAAGGGGACCACAAAAATAGTTGCAAAATAATTTAGTTAGAATTGGATGATAAGCCTTCCATTCAAACACCCAACCAACCAACCAACCATCCATCCATCCCCCACACCCCCAATTTAGAGAGTCCAAATGTAGTACCACCACCACCACCGCCGCCGACTTACCTACCTAAGCGAAATTTGTTGACTTTCGGAAGTTATTATTCAGGTGCTGGTGCTGATGACAGCAATGGTGTGTTGGCGTCGTCGTCATACGTCGCACGTCACACCTCATATGCCTGGAAAGAAAAACAAAAAAAAAAAAAACAAACAAATAAATAAATAAAAATAAATAAGAATGTAAATAGTGTTGTTGTTGTTGTTGCTGCTGCTGTTGTTGTTGTCGTTTATCAATAAAAATTTTGATTTCTACAGCGAAAAAAATGTGTGTATATTTCACAAGATGTCTAAGGCATTTCCGCGTTTCAGTTTGGAAAATTGGGAGCAACTGTAGGTGGACTCCAGCAAAACAAACAATGACTCGACAAAATTCTGGGAACCTTGAACCAATATTGGAAGTCGCATAAAATCCACACACAAAATCAATCAATTCATAAGACCCCCCCGAATTGTAGACATGAATAATATATAGGGCTTTTGGGCCTAAAATCGTTAAGTCCTAGAGATTGAGGCGGAAACGTGACAAGTTATTTTCGTTTGAATGGGCAGTGGGCCCTGAGAAATTTTGCTGAGTATTGGGGGGGGGGGGTTACACCACGTGCCTTCATGTAATGATACTGGCAAATCCGTCTACCACGCAGTGGGGGAGGGGTATAAAAAATGTGTAATTTAGTTTACATACCCCCCCCCCCTTTCCAGAGAGAGATCCCACATCGTGACAAGTTATTTCCGTTTGAATGGCCAGTGGGCCCTGAGAAATTTTCCTGAGTAATTGGGGGGGAGGGGTTACACCACGTGTCTTCATATAATGATACTGGCAAATCCGTCTACCACGCAGTGGGGGATGGGTATAAAGAAGTGTAATTTAGTTTACATACCGCCCAGCCCCTTCAGGGAGACCCCACATGATATATTTTCATAATCATCAAAAAAAAGTTCCAATCGATTTAGCAATGTCCTTCGGGAATTAAATAAAGAGGTCACATTTTTAAGCCTCATTCGGCCCATAAAGCCCTTTGTGCAATTGTGTACCATGAAGAGGGAAACGAAGTAGAGTCATAGTCTGAATCACATCATTCTGAAGATACATATTTAAATTTAACTAGCGAAGACACAAACCAAACCAGTTTTTCTGGAGTTCAGAAAGGGTTAATATATAAAGGGAATGAAAGAGAGAGAGAGAGAGAGAGCGTATGTGTGTGAAAGAGAGAAACAGAGAGAGTAAACGGGAGGGACATTTAAGACATTTTAAAATAAATGTATAACTCCAGTAGATTATGAAAGTAGAGCGAAAAATAAAAGACACGTATAGCGGCACTTTAAAAGTAACCTAAATAGGATGGTCGGTCAAGTTCCCCCCATCCTCCCATATTTTGAAAATTTTAAAATTTCTTGGATATCGGGCATTTTAGGTATATAAAGTCTTGGGCAATATTCTGCTAACAATACGAAGATTATTTCGGCCGAAAGTGTTAACCCTCAAGCGATTCAAGAAAGGGGTCTTTTTGGTCCGTTTTTCGAAAATGGTTCAAAACTCCCTTTAAACGATGGAGAATGCATCGAAAGCCTTAATCTTATCTAAAAGCCAGGAATTTACAACATTTTAGGGTTAAGGCAGTACTTCGTGTGAGTTTATGCAAAATCCTCCCACAAAGTACCGTTTTAGGTATATGGTGTCTCGTACAATATTACAGATAATAATACGAAGATTATTTTGGTTGCAAATTTTAACCCTCAATCGAGTCACAAAAGGGGGTCTTCTTTTTGGTCCCTTTTTTAAAAAAAGGTTAAAAAAACTAGCTTTTTTGTGGTCCGTTTTTCGAAAACTGGATAAAAACCACCTTAAAACTATTCGTCATCAAATCAAATTAGGTCCTAGAATACATCGAACATCTAAATGCCAGGAGTTTTGAAATAAAAAAAAAACACATATTAGGGTTGAACCCGTACTTTACATTAATTTATACAAAGTTCTCCTACAAAACATTATTTAAGCTTATTTAAGGCTTTGGCAATATCATTGATATCAAGATGAAGATTATTTTCGTAGAAAATGATAACCCTCAACCGAGTCACATATGGCCTTCAAACGGCCAATGAAACCGTCACACGCTCCCCGAATGTTGCTCTACGATATTTTGGCCCATTCCCGGCGAAGCGCTTGCTTGAGGTTATCGACACTATGGTATTTTTTAGTGCCAACCTTTCTTTCCAAAATATGTACTCCAGACACAATAGTCCAACGGATTGGTATCGGAAGATTTTGGTGGCCATTGTGCGCTGAAAATGAAGCGAGGAACCTCATTTTGTCCCCATAATTTTTTTCTTGGGTGGCGCGTGCCCTAGTGCGATGTTGCTGAGTCCTGTTGGAATGTCCAAGGTCTGCGGCCAAAATGTTTGCCTGCCCCGGGGCTTTAATACAACATCCAGAATATTTTCGCGATACTATTTGGCATTTTTTCTGATGCCATGGTCGATTAAGACGAACGGAGAGCGACCATCGGCTGTTATGGTGGCCCACACCATCACCGTGACCGGCGCTTGAGTTCTGGTGGCCAACCGAAGGTGCACATTTTTCGGTGAAACACTTGCTTGTGGTGATCGACACTTTGGTATTTGTTAGTGCCAACCTTGCTTTCCAAATGCTCCAGACACAATAGTCCAACGGATTGGTGGGGTGGTGGCCATTGTTCGCTGGGTGGCGCGTGCTGAGTCCTGTTGGAATGTCCAAAGTCTGCGGCCAAAATGTTTGCGTGCCCCGGGGCTTTAATACAACCTCCAGAATATTTTTGCGATAATATTTGGCATTTATTTTGATGTAACGGTCGAGCGGAGAGAGACCATCGGCTGTTATGGCAGCCCACACCATCACCATGGCCGGCGCATGAGTTCTGGTGGTCAACCGAAGGTGCACATTTTCAGCTGACCTCTTTGTGATAATATTCGGAAATTATTCTGATAACACTGTCGATTAATACGAGGGGAGAACAGCCATCGGCTGTTATGGCGGCCCACACCATCACCATGGCCGGCGCTTGAGTTCTGGTGGCCAACATTGGTGGTGCACATTTTCAGCAGACCTCTTTGCGAGAATATTCGACATTTATTCTGATGCCACAGTCGATACGGTAATACGAGCGGAGTGCAACCATCGGCTGTTATGGCGGCCCGCACCATCACCATGGTCGGCGCTTGAGTTCTGGTGCACGGACAACCGAAGGTACACATTTCCAGCTGACCTCTTTGGCTTACCTGTCGAACCCGATCATTTTGTTTGTTTACAAACTGCTGGACAGCGAATGTTTTCTCATCGGAGAAAACCAAATTCGGCAGTTCACCACTTTCGGCCAAGCGAAGCAACTCTTTTGAGTCTGTTTCCTTCTGTTGCGGTCTAAGTTCTTGCACTTTTTGGAATTTCAATGGCTTTATCCCGAACTCATTTTTCAATATTTGCCGAATGGAATATTGCGATATGTTTAGCTAACGAGCCATTTTTCGGCCACTGCGACGAGGGATTTCGATCAAGTCGCTTCTATACTTTTCGAACTATTTCTGCTGATGTTGCTGTTTACTTCCGTCCACTTCCTTGACGTCGGGCTACGCTACCAGCATCACATTAACGAGCGATGGTACGAGACCCAAAAGATTTAATCACATTTAAATGCTGCTGGGGTGCTCTAACGATAGCCGCTTTCCATAGGTTTTCCAGCCAAATGAAAAGAATCACGCTTGAATTCCATCACGAATAACTTTTTTTCTAGAAAACTCTCACCAAAATGCTTTTGTACGCTTGTAGGCAATAGAATAATCTGTCACTGGAATAATTTTAACAGCTGCCGGACGAGTGGCTTAGAAATGACAGCAGTCTGAAGTTGGTTGCGGTTTTTATCATCTCACCATGTATATTTATTTTTAAAATTCTCCTTTGCTCCTTTATCGTTCTCAAAACCATCCGTAGAAAAATCGCCATGTGTCCCCTTAATTTTCCAAAATTTCCCCGCAGGTCTTAATTCCTTTACAGAACAATTCAAGATTTTTCTTAAGCCTCTAAGAAAGTACCTTAAGAGGACTTTTTTTCTATTTAAATTCCAAATTTTAATTGTAATAGGACTAGCTCATAATCCTCCTTCCCAAAATTTCCAACTTCATCACAACAAACCCTCCCCTCCACCCACACTTGAATGCATTTCCTCATCAGTGGGAATGTGGGATGGGGGTGGTGTATTGTTAGCCCCTAATAAAGAAACTATTAATAACCACTCTTGCATCTATGCTAGGTTTTAAAAATTGTGTCTAGACGCCGGACAGACAGACAGCCAGCCAGTCAGTCATTCATTCTCACTTTTACAAATGTTATTGCCCAACATTTGTACTTAACCACGTGCTGTTCCATATCTAGATTCCCTAGAATATGCCCGCATCCATTTCTGTGTCATGCTTCTGCTTTCTTCCTCCTTTCCCCCTCTTCTGCTGCTTCTCTTCCCAGCTAGTGGTGTGGTCTGGTGTGCAGTATCCCTTCGAACATTGTTTATGCGTATTTCCATTAGATTAGATCCGAAAATGTATTTCGACGACAAATTATGTTAATTCCCAACATACGGCAGATGTTCGTGTTCCGCTCGCATTTTGTATGTGTCGGTCGATGATTCCGCTTTTTTGGAAATTGTGTCAGTTGTGATGTCACTTTGACAACAAATTGACGCCGGCGTGGAATGACCCCCCAAGTATTCGTTCCTGTCAATAAATGAAACATATTCTGGTTTTATGTCTTATTCTCTGGCACTTCTTCTCTCTCCCTTTCTTTCTTTTCTTCCTTCCTTCCTATCTGCCTTTCTTACTTCCCGTAGTTGTTGTTCTTCCCTTCTTCGGTTGTAAGACAGATGTTGTAATGGATTGCGTCCAGGTGCAACAACAGTTTTATCCCTGCCTGCCTGCCTGTCTGTCTGCCCTCTCTCAATGACGACATGCATTGTTCTTCTTCTTGTTGTTGTTGTAAGGCCTTCATGTATATCCTCCGAATGCATTTCCATTTAGGTTACAAGACACACACACGGCATGACAAATATTTCAGCACACTCATGACAAGACATGATTAATACAATGAAGCTATAACTACCTC